TGATCTACGACTAGGCATTGAAAAATGTGAATTTCTTTGCAAAGAAGTAAAATATTTAGGACATATAGTTTCATCGGATGGAATAAAGCCAGATGAAGACAAAATAAAATCAGTTAAAGCATTCCCGATACCTAAGAAAGTTAGAGATGTACAAAGCTTTCTTGGACTAGCAAATTACTATAGAGTGTTTGTACAAGATTATGCTTTTGTAGCCGAACCATTAACAAACCTGTTGCGCAAAGATGTTAAATTTAATTGGGATATTAAATGTCAAAAAGCATTTGATGAACTTAAAAATAGATTAATTACTGCTCCAATACTAGCACAATATCAAGAAGGTGCCCCTATTGAAATATTCACTGATGCTTGTGGCTATGGCATGTCAGCAATACTAGGACAAATTCAAAATGGTAAACATGTCGTCATCAGTTACAACAGTAAAATGTTTAATAGTGCACAACTAAACTATGGTATCACAGAAAAAGAATGTTTAGCTATAGTATGGGCTGTTGAAAGGTATCGACATTACATATATGGCGAACATTTTGTGGTATATAGTGACCATAATCCACTACAATATATTAGAAATTTGAAAAACCCAAACAGAAGATTAATGCATTGGAGAACAATACTCGAAGAATATGACTTTGAAGTAAAATATAAGAAAGGAAAATTACATAACAATGCTGACGCAATATCAAGTTATCCATACGAGGAACCAGACGATTGGGAACCAGTAATACCAGTACTAATAAATCCTACAATAAACATAATAGAGAAACAAGATAGTGATAAATGGTGTAAAGAATTAAAAGAGAAAATAAAAAATAATCAACAAAGTAAAAGCTTAAGCAAATTCATTATTGAAAATGAAATTCTATATAGGATAAGTTATGATGATAATAGAAATAGGAGGCTACAGTTATGCCTTCCTAAAGAATTAAGACGACAAATCCTACAAGATTTACATGACAATGAGTTGTCCGGAGCTCACTTAGGATTTGAAAAAACATATGGAAAAATCAAAGAGAGATTTTTCTGGCCTCACTGTGAAAAGTCAATCAGAAAATACGTAAACAACTGCGAGTCATGTCAGTTGAATAAAGTCGACAATAAACTGGAGAAAGGAATGCTGCAGCCTATCGATGCCAATGAACCATTTGAAATTGTCGGAGTAGACATACTTGGGCCTCTCTCTCCGACGTCAAAAGGCAGTAAATACATTATAATAATGATTGACTTATTTACAAAATGGATGGAGACAAAGGCAGTGAGGAATGTACAAGCCATTACTATAGCGAAATGGTTTGTTGATGAAGTTCTGGCAAGACACGGCGCCATTAAAAAAGTGTTAACAGATAATGCCAGATACTTTATATCAGACTTTATGGAAGAAGTCTTTAAGTTGACAGCCTCCAAACATGTGAAAACCACACCATATAGTCCACAATCGAATGGAACTGCAGAAAAAGCATGCGGGACTGTAGCTATGATGCTTAAAAATTATGTTCAAGATAATGTTACCAATTGGGACCAGTACTTACCCAAAGTAACATTCTCGTATAACGTTAGTAATCATAAAGCTACCAAAGTTTCTCCTTTTTTCTTACTATATGGAAGAGAACCAAAAGTACCAATTGACATATCTTATGATCTACCGCGTGACTTTGCATTTGGTACTAATTATTTAAAATATATGGAGGAGACAAGAAGATTGGTTCAAATGAGAATTATAGAGGCTCATAATGATGGTAAATTCCGTTATGATGCTAAACATCGCGATGTAGTATTTGAGGAGGGTGACTTGGTGTCACTACATATTCCTCACAGAGAGATTGGTCTTAGTACAAAATTATTAAGCCAATATATTGGCCCTTATAAGATAATTACGCGGCACAGTCCACTTGTATACACTGTTCAAAGTGTACATAATCCAAGGAAAAAGTTTAAGAAAGTACATATAAGACGATTAAGAAAATGGAACAATGAAATAATTCCTGAATTGGACAGTATTGATGAAGTAGATAGTAACAATGCTAAACATATTACTACACTAAATGACAATGAAAATCAACTGGACGATGAAATTGATAACACGGAACAACAAACAAAGCACAATAATGATCAGAAAACGGACAACGATTAAAATTTATTATAATGCATTATTGGTATTTTATAGATTTAAGTTTACATAATGCATGCATTTTTTAAGGTGAAGGGATTTTATAGTAATATTTTATAAATAGAAAATTTGTAAACTAATGTGTACATGAGTTATTAGTGTTACACATCTGAGGACAGATGAAGACTTGAAGGGGCGGAAATGCAATAGTGGGTCAAATCAGCAAAATATTTAACTATTAAATAAGTTTTGTTTTTATTTAAATAATTAAAAAACATAATTATTACATAAGCTAAATTATTGAAAACTTTCCCTATAATAAACAAATGCTTATATACACTAATATTTCTACATTAAATAATTTTATATTGAAGTCAAGGATAACATACATAATTAAAATATATTGTAAGGGTATATTATTTGTTTTACTCCGAAAAAGTATTTCAAAAATTATTCTTATTTTTATTTGTTAAAAATTTATAACAGCACTAAAATGTTATACAGAAAACCTAAAGGTAAACACCTTGTTTTTAAGGAAATTTTATTCAATATTTTAGTGTTAAAATAATGCACTAAAATGTTATAGAAAAAATTAAATAGTAAACTCCCAGTTTTAATAGTGATTAAAACCTGACTCAATGTGACACACTTTTTATGAACGTACACTTTAGTATAAATAGAGGTGTCTCTCAAACACCAAAATCAGTTCTCCACTTGGAGTCATACTACGTGTATTGCTTTAGAGTGAATTAATAAAAGTATTTGCATATTACTTTGTGTGTGTTTACTTTCTCGACGCGGACCAATCGTTGGACATCTTAAGGGACGCCTTCAGAATACATCCATAACCACGCGGACGTTAAACAACTATTACGTAAGTAAATATTTTTATTATGAGAACTCCGGCACCGTACCGTATACGGGGGCATCTCACACCCGAACTCTTATTGGAACCTACGGGTGAACCTACGGGTGAACCTACGGGTGAACCTACGGGTGAACCTACGGGTGAACCTACGGGTGAACCTACGGGTGAACCTACGGGTGAACCTACGGGTGAACCTACGGGTGTACCTACGGGTGAACCTACGGGTGAACCTACGGGTGAACCTACGGGTGAACCTACGGGTGAACCTACGGGTGAACCTACGGGTGAACCTACGGGTGAACCTACAGGTGAACCTACGGGTGAACCTACGGGTGAACCTACAGGTGAACCTACAGGTGAACCTACGGGTGAACCTACGAGAGTACCTGCAGGTGAACCTACGAGAGTACCTACAGGTGAACCTACGAGAGTACCTACAGGTGAACCTACGAGAGTACCTACAGGTGAACCTACGAGAGTACCTACAGGTGAACCTACGAGAGTACCTACAGGTGAACCTACGAGAGTACCTACAGGTGAACCTACGAGAGTACCTACAGGTGAACCTACGAGAGTACCTACAGGTGAACCTACGAGAGTACCTACAGGTGAACCTACGAGAGTACCTACAGGTGAACCTACGAGAGTACCTACAGGTGAACCTACGAGAGTACCTACAGGTGAACCTACGAGAGTACCTACAGATGAACCTACGAGAGAACCTAAACTAACGACATGACAGAGACACTGAGGTATGCAATATTTTAGGATAACATACCTATAAGATAACCTACCTATATTGTAATCTGATTATAAGGAACCTACTCATATAGTAAACTATCTATAATGTAACCTGCTTATATGGTAACCTATCTATAAGGTAATCTAACTGCACGGTAACCTATCTATAGTTGTCTGCCGATATGGTAGTCCATCTATAAGATAACCTACCTGTATGTTTACCTACCTATAAGATAACCTACCTATACGGCAACCTACATATATGATAACCTACTTATGGGTTAACTCCTATAAAGCAACCTACGTATATGGTAATCCATCTATAAGGTATCCTATCCTGAAGGTAATTGCATACCCGATGACATGTCCGTTGTCAACTACAAACATGAACACGGTTACTCCCGTATAGTAGGAGTTACCCGACTATGTCGGGGAACAAGGGGATCCGCTCGCCCCTTAAGCCACACACCACGAAACCGACCGGGTTGAGAGCCCAACCGTAAGGGCCGGTGGTATATTACCGAGTGTTTTGGTTTACATAAGTTAGTTTAGCTTAGTCCTAAATGTCAGTAATACCCCACTTCCCCTACATTATATATATATAATCCATAATAAATACTAAATTATAATAAAGCTTAAATATTACTAATAATTATATATATAATAAAAAACGTTATTATTATTATCTATTATTAAAAATATTTAAATAATTAAATATTAAGTATATAATACATATATTGTATTTTTTAAAAATAGTTATTCATGTAATTAATTTTATATTAGTAATAAAAAACATATTTTAATTTTTAAATTTAATATAACTACAATAATAGACTACCATTAAATGATATTAAAAATAAAATAAAATTTATTTTTAATTTGCAAAAAAATAGCATTTATGTCATATCAGTAGTTAATAAATTTGTTTTCTAGTTTTGTTTTCATAGATTTAAATTGTAATATAATATTTAAAAAAAAACTACAGTATATTATTTGCTAACATTTTAGTGTAAAAGTAAATTAAAAAAAATTAATTAAATATTATTTAGAAAAAAATGAATTTTATTATGAATATTATGTAATTTAAAAAAAAATATCTTAAATAAAACAGTTTTTTTAGAAAAATAAAATTTTTAATTTAATAAACTATTTGACGTATTTATGTAACATTTATTAGTATATTTAAAAAAATGGCGTAAATTTAATATAATTTATTTAATAAAAAATATATATAATTAGTAAAAAAAAATTTATTGCCAACTCATTAGTTAGAAAGTATTAGTTAAGTTAAGTCAGTTAAAAAAAATATTATTTTTAAAGTTTTAACTAAAATTTTAAAAACTAAAATCATGTTTAAACAACTATTGCTAATTAGTTTAGTTAGCATGGTAGTCAATAATTTTATTGGCATAAAAGCATCAAGTGCATGTAATTTTTATTTAAATTTTTTAATTTAAATAATATATTTATTTTTATATTTAATTACTATCAATAGTTTTTTTATACAGTATATTTTAATTAATTATATAATATTTGTAATTTATTTATTAATTAATGAACTTGTAAATTAATGTTTAAAATATTTATAATTTTATTTTTAACAAAAATAATTAATTTTTTAAAAATAGCACCAAGCGCACTTAGCTTTGTCGAAAATGATCTAGTACAAGTTGACGTTAAAATGGTTATTATTATTATTATTATTATTATAAAATTTAAAAACAAAACAAAAATATTTACATTTAAATTTTTGTTTGTTTGTTTGTTAATACATATATTGTGTGTATATTGATATAAATTATTTATTAATTTTTTTTTGTAATTAATTAAATTAAAATTATAGTTGTATGGACCATGGTCAATTAGGGCATCGACTGTATTACCAACTGATCCCAAATTTTCCCATAATATCTACACTCAATCAAGCGATGGACTACTAATTACTAAATTGTATGCAAAAAACAAAATTATATATTAATTATAAATTGACAAAAAAATACAGTACATATAGTATATATACTGTATATTTAGTATATATATACTGTATATTTAGTATATATATACTGTATATAAACTTGTATTTAAAAAAAAATAAACCCAATGTCTAATTAATATATATATTAATAATAAATTTTTTTGTCGCTTATGTAGCAATGATACAACCAGTCTGGGAACGGCTACATTGAAACCGGCACCGGGCGGTAGTCGGATATGGGTAGCCGATATCAATTACAAGGGTGAACCCAAACAATTGAGACACCAATACCCTGTTTATCTGGACTATGATTATCGTATAGTACTAGTTGTCAGAGAAAGTGATCCAAAAAATCGTAATATTATTTATTTTTTAAAAATTTTTGAAAAATTAATTTTAACTAATAATTATAATAACTATAAGTCTATTATATTAATAGAGAGAGAGACTGAGAGAGACTGAGAGAGACTGAGAGAGACTGAGAGAGACTGAGAGAGACTGAGAGAGACTGAGAGAGACTGAGAGAGACTGAGAGAGACTGAGAGAGACTGAGAGAGACTGAGAGAGACTGAGAGAGACTGAGAGAGACTGAGAGAGACTGAGAGAGACTGAGAGAGACTGAGAGAGACTGAGAGAGACTGAGAGAGACTGAGAGAGACTGAGAGAGACTGAGAGAGACTGAGAGAGACTGAGAGAGACTGAGAGAGACTGAGAGAGACTGAGAGAGACTGAGAGAGACTGAGAGAGACTGAGAGAGACTGAGAGAGACTGAGAGAGACTGAGAGAGACTGAGAGAGACTGAGAGAGACTGAGAGAGACTGAGAGAGACTGAGAGAGACTGAGAGAGACTGAGAGAGACTGAGAGAGACTGAGAGAGACTGAGAGAGACTGAGAGAGACTGAGAGAGACTGAGAGAGACTGAGAGAGACTGAGAGAGACTAATCATATTTATAAATAAAATATATATTAATTATAATTATTTTTTTATTTTGTAAATATATTTAGCAATACTGGAAGTCTATGCCAGACCTAGTGTTTCATACAATAGGGAACCCATCGATGAAATACTAAACAAAATTCAATCAAACAATTCAAATATTAAAAAATTAATCGGAGATTATGTACCAAAACTACATTATGTTAAAAGTCCATAAATATTGAAACTAATTAACTTAATTAAATTAATTAAATAATAATAATAATATCTAAAAATATTTTTTAATTAATTAATTTTTTTTACTGTAAAACACAATAGTGTTACAAAATTATTATTATTAATGTTATTAATAAAAGCAATTTAATCATAAAAACACAAATTGTTTTTTCTAACTATTATTATTATTATTAGTTATTAGTTATATATTTAAATTTTTTTAATTAATTGCTAACTTTTTTTTTTGGTGATAACACTACTTTAATAGACAAAATTATAAGTAAAACAAATTTTTATTAATAGTTATTAATAATTAGATTTTTATAGACAAAAAAAATGTTTAAAATAAAAACACATTTATTTATGATAATTAAATTTTTTTCAATTAAAATAAATATTAATATTAGTTTATAAAAAATGGCGTTTAACTATAAATTAAAATTTAAAAAAATATATATATAATTATAATTACAGTACAGTAGTTAATAAATTTAAAGTTGCATTAAATAATATTTTATTGTAAAATTACATTGCTGATTTTTAATAAAAAAAATTTATTATTGTTGTTGTTGCTTATATTGTATAATGTTGAAAACAATATTGTTAATTATTTTGTTAATTAGCATGCTAGTTAATTATATTGTTGCAACAACAATAATTACTGGTAATTGTTATTATTTATTATAATAATTATGATTTATAATCTAATAATTTTATAAATATTAGTATTTAAATAAACAAAACAAAAAATAATTAAAAAAATTATTTAATTAATTATATTTTTTAAAAACAAACATTTAGAAACACCAAGCCAATTTAAGTTTGCCGAAAATGATATTGTACAAGTAGATTTGAACAAGGTTGATTATCATTATTATTATTATTATTAATGTCTATTTTTTTAATTAATTAATTAAATATTATTATTATCAATAATTAATTATTTATTTATTTAAATATTATAATTATTTATTATTTATTTATTTAAATTTTATAATTATTTATTATTTTTTTTAAATATTATAATTATTTATTATTTATTTAAATATTATAATTATTGATATATTTATAACTAGATATATATTATTATTATTATATTGTATTAGATTATATTAAAATTATTACTGTAATTAATTAAACAATAATTTATATATATAAATTAATAAAATATTAGATTAGTTTTTTTAATTAGATAATAATTAACCTAATAATATGTTTATAAAGTATATATATATATATAACTTTAAAATAGATATAAGATATAGAAATTAATATTAATTACTAAAATGTTTTAAATAAATTATTATTGATTTTATATATTTTATATCAATATAATAAACACTTAATTATTATTATCAATATTTTCTATTTTTAATATTAAAAATATTTATTAATAAAATAGTTCAAATAATAATTTTAATATTTCTAATGTTTTTTTTGTTTGTTGTAAAATATTATATTTAATAAAAAATATTTGTATAAATAAATAATTTATTATAATTACATTTTTTAAATAATAGTTTAATATAATTTATATTGAAATAAAAATAGTTTACAACTCATATTGTTATATACTGTTTAGCAATTACATTGCAATTGCATGTAAATTGCATTTAAAAGCTATTATTATTATTAGAAATTATAATTAAAAAAAATTTGTTAGAATTTATATAATTATTATATAAATAAATTTTTATCTATCATTCTATAACTAATAATATATTAATAAATAAATATCATTAATAATAATAATAATAATAATAATGACTTTATTTAAAAAAATAAAATAATAGTTAATCAAATCAATCAAATCCAAAAAATACTAATTATAAATGAATTTTATTAAATCACTTAAAATTATTATAATGTTTATCAATTGACTGTAATATCTAAATTGTATTGTTAATTATTATTATTATTATTATTATTATTGAAACTAATATTTCTTTAATTATAAAATTATAATCTATTATTATCAAATTAATAATATCATATAAGAAAAATTTTACTGTACTTTATAATAAAAAAAAACTAGTAATCATTTTTTATAAATAAATATTTTATAAACATTAAAAAAAATAGATCAAATACAATGAATTTTATTAAATATTTTCTAATAATTAGTCGCTGTTTTGGTCTAACATTTGGCGGTATTTGTATCGATGGCGGCTATACTATGGTTAACAATAACAACATTAGTAGCGGTAAAAAACAATTAAAACAAAATCAATATTTGAAATGGTCGGGCAATATAACCGGTTTGATCATGGTCATTTACTATAATTATTCAACCATCTATACAATCATGCACGTGGATCTATTCAATATAAAACATGAGTTTCTGATTGTATCACATGTACAACAAGTTTTCCTAATTGGTCTCAATTGTCAACTAACACTATCGCTAGTCTATCTGCTAATCAATGGCAACCAATTGATCCTAAAATGGTTGACAATTGGTAGTCCTGGCCATTGGAAAAATATTATCATATTATTGGCCACTTATATGCTATTTATTTTCATAATCATAGCCAATATGATTGTTATGTTTGTTAATACAGTCAATGATTATCGACAATCAATAGCAATATTTTTCGTATCAATTATATATATTAGTGGCTATTATGGACTAACATTTATTACATATGGTATTTAAAATAATTTAATTAATTATTTAAATAATATATTTATTTTTTTATATATAGAAAATATTTATTATTTAATTAGATTAAATAGTTAATTATTATATATTATCAATTTTTAACCAATATATATTGTTAATATTTTTTTAATTATTTTATATACTAAATATTTATTGTTTAATTTACATTTAATTTTATTTTTTATATATATATACAGGTATATCCATATCGATAAATGAAAGTCTAGATAAAATTAATTATCAATTGGCTATAAGTACTACTACTACTACTACTAATAATAATAATAATAATGGGGCCAAACATTATTGTTGTTGGGAACCAAAAATTAAATCAATCAAAACTAGACTTGGTCAATTAAGTGATCTAATCGATGACCTGGATAAATCCATATGGATGGTCATCATAGGGACCATTGACTGTACAATAAGTATAATGGCTGTAATGTTATTCATGTATTTGGCAATTGCCAAACAACAGATACCTGATTTCAATCTAATTATATCGATATTGATATCAACCCTACGATTGACGGCCAACAATCTGATCAACGGATCGGTACAGTCATCAGTCGACCAACTCATCAATCGATTGGATAAATTGGATGTAAGTGTTGACTGTATGTCGGAGTCATGTTATCGACAATACCGGCAATTAATAGGTCACCGATTGGTTGGTAAACGGTTTGGTTTTACAATCGCCGGTTTTGTACCCTATAGTCGGCAAACACTATTAGCGGTTAAGTATTTTTTTTTAATTTATTTATTATAATTTAAATAATTTTTTTCTCTTAAAATTGTTAATAATTATTTTTTTTTATTATAAAAACAAACAATAGATTTCAACGTTTATTTTAAACTATGTTGTTATACTATCTCAACTTGGTAAATTATAATTATGTTATTTTAAAAAATAAATTAATAAAATAAATATTAATTAATAATACTTATGTTATGTTTTATACTGTCTATAGTATTGTATAAAATATATTGTATTTATTCTAAACTATGTTGTTATACTATTTCAACTTGGTAAATTTTAATTTGCTTAAAAAACTTAATTAATTACATTTTTAACTATATATATTTAATTTTAAAAACAATTTAATTATTTTGATGTTAATAAAATTGTAATATCACTAAAAAAATAATATTTAATTAAATTTTGTGGTTGTAATACTTTAATAATAATTAATAATCATATTAATAAATCTCATTAATAATAATAATTATTATTAATATTATTTTATTAGATATTAACATTAAAGCAATAATAATAATAATAAATATTATAAAATAAATAATATTATTATTTATTTACAAATATTTAAGAATAAATATTCATATTTATTGATTTTTATTTTATATATTACTATTGTATAATCAGTTTATTATTATATGTTATATTAGTTCAAAATAATAATTTTAATATTAATAAATAATATTTAATTACATATTAAATTTTTTTTCTTGATGTAATACTTTAATAATCATTAATAATCATAATAATAAATCTCATTAATAATAATTATTATTATTAATATTTTTTTATTGGATATAAATTAGTTTAATTTCTACAATAATATTAACATTAAAGCAATAATAATAATAATAATAAATATTATAAAATAAATAATATTATTATTTATTTACTAATATTTATGAATAAATATTCATATTTATTGATTTTTATTTTATATATTACTATTGTATAATCAGTTTATTATTATATGTTATATTAGTTCAAAATAATAATTTTAATATTAATAAATGTTTTTTTTTATTTATTAAATCCAGTATTTATTCTATTAGTAAAAAAAAGTAAATTAATAAACATTTTGAATAAATAAATAGATTAAATAAATATATATTTTTATAATATATAATACATATATTAAAATACAATAAAACTAAAATAATTTATATTATATTATTATAATGTTTATCAATTGATTGGAAATATCTAAATTTTTATTATAAATTATTATTATTATAGTATATAATACTAAAACAAATTTTAATCTATTATTATTATTATTAGTAAATTATAAATCATTAATTTTCATCAGATTTAAACCGTTAAAAATTATTATAATAATATAAAACTATTAATTTTATATTTATAAAAAAATTACCAAAAATATAATCAATTATTATTATTATTGTTACTATTTAGCAAATTATAATAATAATTAATTTTAAAACTAGAAAACTAGTAATATTTTTAAAAAAAAAATATTTTATAAACATTCAACAMACAAAAATACAAATGAATTTTATTAAATATTTTCTAATAATTAGTCGCTGTTTTGGTCTAACATTTGGCGGTATTTGTATCAGTGATACTATGGTTAACAACAACACTAACAGTG